GGCGCTGCGGGCTGGGGTCTGCGGGGGGCGGGCCGGGGCGGGCGTGGGCGGCGCGCTTCGTCTGTGACCGAGACCTGCGCGCCCCTCCCCCCCGCGTGTGTATCCCGGGTGTGACCGTGTGGCGGTGATGTGCTCCTGCACGCTCACCTTCCCAACACACACACTCACGCTCTCTTACCCGCGGGGCAGATTCTGTGAACTTGTCCGGTGCCTAGCCCCTCCTGGGTGGATACCTGTGGCACCCTGTCGAAGAGACCAGGCCTCCCACAGCCCCCCAGTCTCGCAGTAAGCACACGAGGGACATATCACAGAGGCTCCTGTGCTCCAAGGGGTCCCTCCATGGAGTAGTCCTCGCGGGACCCACTCCCCTCCTGGCGGCAGTCCACACCTCAGGGCCTGGACCGCAGGGGGACCACCCACCCTGAGGCAACCTCCTTCAAGCTCCGGGGATAGCAAGGCACGTCCTCAGGACAGGGTCACTGCCCCTTGAGATGTCAGCAGAGGGGAGCTGGGGCCTGGCTCCTGACTCCTTCCCACTCCAGTGTCCCCACTCATCCCCTCAGACTCTGAGCAGCTTTTCACTTCCCCCAGATTCACCACCCCATCTGCCTTCACAGTGGAACTGCAAGCGGGTGCATGACTTCCCCACACCCCAGCCAGCCCAGGGGTCCTGTCCCTCACTCCTCAGCCCACCCTCCTCTGGACAAAGAGATGGGTGGCTGGTCATCACATGCTGGTTCCAGGGGCCTCTGTCCTCACCTGCTGCTGGCGTGGGCAGGGGGTAAGGGCCCACCTGGAGACTCTCAACCTAAGAGGCTCTGGCCAGGGCACTGCCAGTTTGGGCTTCCCCACCTCCAGGGTGGCACTGCAGAGAGTGAAGCCATGATGTGATGGATCTGCTGTCCAGGGGGCAGGGAAGGCCCCAGGAGACAGGCAGCTGTGCCCTGCTTCTCGTCCCCTGAACCTTTGAAGGGCACACTGGCTCCTGGGGTGAGGAGGACACTAGAGCTGCAAGACCACATGGCAGCTTTGGTGCAGGTCCCAGGTGGCACCCTGCACAGGCCACTCACTGCTGAGCGGCACCTCCATTTGTGTATGTGAACTTTTCAAGAAAAGGAAAACATTTACTCTATTTTAATGCTACTACTAAATGGTGGAGGGCCACCGCTGGTCATTAAGATCCTCAAAGAGCAATTAGGGCCTTCACCATGAAGGAGAGGGACCTGGGAGAGCCCAAACCCTGGGAGGCAGCCCTGCTGGGAGACTTGCAAGGGTGGGGCAGACACAAAAGCTGCAGCAGGATCCTGGGCAGGGGTCACCTGGGCCCCCTGATCCTTTGCGCACTGCCTACCTCATTAAAAGTTAAGATGAGACTCAAAATTGGTTAGTGATTTGCTGGACAAAAATTACTGAGAGGTGGACAGTGTGCCAGGCCCTGGGTGGAACTGGTGACCAGTACAGGCCCTGAGCTTGTTCCCTGCAACTTCATTCCAGCAAGGAGGCATCCACAAGTCCTTGGATGGAGGAAGAAAACATTCACAAGCTGGGTGTCATGGAGAGCCTAGATAGACGGGAGCGGGGAACCTACTTGGGGACAAGAATGCAGCTAGAAGAGGACAGCGGTTCTCCCAGCAGAGAGAGCAATCTATGCAAAAGCTCTGTGGCGGGCAGGAGAGAGCTGAGGAGCAGGAAGAACCAGAGAGCGCCTGGGAGCCCCTGAGGTGGGCAGGCCGCCAAGTGGGATGCAGAGAGTGGGGGTTCCTACAGGGCCTTGGGGCACGGAGGAAGCTGTGTATCATTCTAAATATGACAGATTGTTACCCTCCTTTGTCATGATGCTCTGTCCTCCAGACGTCCTTCCAGAGACAAGGCCACAGGTTTTTAAAATAAACATTATTTTTTAAAGACAGCATCTATAACCTCACAAAGCCTGTAGCTTTCAGGCATCCCTTGGCCCGTTTACAGACTGGTGGGACCATGCAGTCACCTGGAGGGACATTTTCCACCTCAAGGTCTTGGAAGGAGGCCTCCTCCCACCATCTTCCGCTTCACTTGACCGAGAACCTGCCAGAATGATCCTCGCAGGACTGCATCCTATGGGCAGATGCTCCAGTGGGGCCGACCCCCCCCCCC